TACATCAGAATCAACGTATTTGTCTTTTCATATCCAGGTTGCGACCAAGTCTAAAAAAAACAGTTCATGTGCGCTCACACTTACGTATAAAAGCGTTTCTTTTTCTTGTCATGATCACAGCTCCGTAGAAGAGTTTGTACTTTTGCACTGGTAAAGCAGCTCCACAAGGTCGTTTTCATGTCTGCCTCACTCCCTCACTCCTCGGCTGCCTCTTGTCTTCCTTGCATATTCACAAAGAAAGGAACTCTTGGGCTTCACTGTGTGAGTTCTGTTCAGTGAACTGCCGGCAAGCACACAGCTCAATAGAGACCAAATAGCTCCCTATTAAACCCACACTGCTTGTAAGACAGCTGGGCTTTAGTGCAAGTCTGTGTTCTGAGTTATTGTTCCTGTGCATCAGTAGTGAGCAGAAATGTGTGTATTATATGTGTGTGTGTCTGTGTGTAGTGAATGTAACTGTAGTTCTGTCTGCAGGCATGTGAATCACAAAGTACAAGTGCTTTTCGGTGTAAGTTTTTCGGGATGTGACTCTCGATGTGGGCATTTGTTTGTGTTGTCAGGGAATTCAGGAGCTCGTGCTGCATCTGTGAGAGATAGCATCACCAGCAGCAGTGTCCTACAGAGACATTTAGATACGAATACATTATTTAGCAGTGACACAAATGCAGCTCAGCTCAGGAAACTCTGCTTCATACGTGAGAGCGGGCCTCCCAAAAAAAAACCTTTTATGACTGCCCAGTGTGATGTACACATACAGACACTTTACCACAGAGAAGATGCAGAACATATCCAAACCTATCAATCACATAAGTCTTATGAAAGCAAATCTAAAATAATTCTGCAGAACAATGTAACACTACAAACCTTAAAAGTTCCTTCCTCCTAACTATACAGGTGAAAATAACATTTTGTGTAACATTAATTTTGGTCGCAAGAGGCTGGAACAGACTACACATCTCTGAGCCAGTCGAAATTGGATAAATTCATGTTTTCTCTTTTTATGCTACTTCACTGTTTGGTATAAAGTTAATGAAGGTGAAAAACATGTGGTCGTGGAACCAACAGCTACAAATTTGCTTAAGTAGACTGTAGGCTACAGCTAATGTTAGCTTTCTGTTCCAGTTGTGCTACTGGGCATATTAAAGTGGGAAGTCAAACTTATAATTAAAACATAAATTGGACTTTTGGACACTTGCTAATGGAATAAGATGATGTGTATGTAGCTAATAACAGGTACAATATACCCCTACAAATCAAAATCACTATTTACCAACCAAAAATAAAGTAGTACTTGAAGTGTCAAAAAATAAAAACACTCCATGCAGAAAATATGCATTAATGTATTGTTTCCTTCCGGAATGTATATGAAGTGTAAATTGGCAAAATACACAATTTAATTACTAGTAATTGTAATAGAACAGACCTCTGCACATCATGTCCATTCTTCTCCTGCAACAGTCAATCTCCAACTGTCTTTATTCTCTGCTTCATGAAAGTCATTACATTTCTGAATGAGAGTCTGTAAAGGAAGATTCTGTTTCACACAAGCACAGCAAGATGAATATTAGGTCATTATGCCAAACAGACATAAACAGGTAAAAGGCTGAGCTGCCAAAAGAAAACCATTATTCATTATAAATGTCTGTATGACAGAAAGAAAATACTTGTGCCTCTGCAACATGACAAAAAAGTGTCACAACACAGGTGCCAGAGAATCAATACAGTGCAGCTACAGATTGTGTTATTTCATGTGAGTGCATCAATGCTTCAGAGCTGTGGCAGGAAGAAGGATGGTTATAGAGGTGTGGAATAGTTTCTTTTGTCTTCCAGGAATCAAATCATCGATAAAAGAGGCCATTATAAAAATTTGGCTCCGATTCAAGGCATAGATGTGTGTCTTTGTTTTGTCCATGAAAACACTTCAGCCGGCTACAGTCCAGTGGGTATTTGGCGAAGGACCTTCTCTATTTCATTGCTGTTTCACATTATTAAACATAAATGCCACTACTTAATATTTATCAATGGAGCGAGACTATTTGTATGGGCCTTATCTAAGCCTGCAGCTATAGAATGAAACACTGTTTTAGCAGTGGTGAGTGCATCTCTGTTCATTTTCTTTATTTTGTTCATATTTGTACTAACTTCATTTTTTTACTGTGTTTTACAAAATGTGGCACTCACTCCACTGGGCCTTGAGAGTCAACTAAACCAGTAACAGATATCTACGCAATGAAGTCACTGTGAGCTCCATTAAATTGAGGAGAGCTGCAGATTCAGGTGAAAAGTCTCTGCAGGTTTATTGCTATGAGTGACCCCTCTCACATTGTCATATTGTGTTTTCCATTCATATAACAGTGTATTCACTCTAAGTTCCCATAAAAGGCAGATCCTAGTCTGGAGCTCATTAAACAGGATGAACCCACAGCTAACATTGTAGGGGTTAGAAGTGGCTTGGGTTTAATAATGTCAATGCCAATCAGTTTTACAGGTTCTGGCGTAAAGACATAGAAAAGTAAGTATTCCCTACGACACTTAGAAACCAGCTGGAAATAAACAGTGTCAAGCTTCAGTAAATGAGTTGATGGTCATACTGGCAACATCAAAAATAACAGCTGCCCAACTGGGGTATGAATATGTAAATGCGATGCCCTGCAGTCGGACAAGAGGCGGCCTGACTCTATATATCCATATGTCTGAAGCTACCCCCGTTAGTGAGCGGATGCTGGATACTGCCCCCTCCAGAAAAATAAACTACAGGCGTTCACTCCGTGAGATAAAAATCTATTAAGAGGTGATGAGAGCACAAGTGTCTTAATCTCTCCTCAGAGCCCGCACAATTTACCATTCCTGTTTGCCCAATACTCTCATACTCATAAACCTTAATCACCCACTTCCACACTCAACCCAACCCATTCCTCTACATCTATATGCAAACTGTGTCCTCAACCCATTTACCCCTAATTTATCCCTCCACTTTCCCACAGCTCCTTCCCAAGCATCCTTATTCAGGTTTTGCCCCATACACACCTTCCTCTCTGGACATGGAGCCAGTGTGGCGCTAAAGCCAAGCACTCAACAGTTCAATTGACTCACCAGTTGTCCGTGGAGTATGTTATTACCAGTGCACCTGCTACGCCCCCTCTGCAAACCTAAATCTGAGAGTTGCACACCAATCTGTGTCCAATACTAAGTTAGAACCAGGACATGTTTTGCTAGCGTTGAAAAAAGGGGGTGGATAGGTAAAGGTAACATCTCCGTACCACCACCTCCACAGCTCATTGGTTTACATCTAATCTGCACAAACTATAACAATTTACATGGCGTTATGTGGCTCTTTGCTGTGACTTACGAGAGCACTGTAATATTCAGAGTCAGGCAACCTCAATTCCCCCATTTCTATTAAGCTAACTGTCACTCCAACTTTATATTGAATAGTCAGAGTCACAATTTTTCTCATCTAACTCTAGACAAGAGGTCAAATCCGAGTATTTCTCAAAGTGACAAATTAATCCATAAATGGCACATAAACAAAATTCATCATGCAAGCAATGGTTAAAGGAGAGAAAAGTCAGTGGAGGGATAATTGAAAATATGTAAATGTAACCAGGAATCTTAAATATATATATATTTATATATCTTATATATATATATGTCTTTGCATATCAGCATGGTAAACTTTGCCATCATACTAAGTTTAATGCTGCTCATGCAGTAATTGCTGATGCAAGGTCTTTACACGATAAGGTTGATGTACAAAGGAGCCGTCACCAGGTGGGAGGACGTACAGTAGATACTGTAACTGTGAGCAAAGGATGAATGTGTGAGACAGAAGGCTGAAGAAATGTATAAATCAGCAGAGCCTTTTGTTCCGGTGTCTTTTTTTTGAATGAATGTGGTTTGTTCTTGTTTAGCGTGCACAGTTGTTTGTGGGTATTCTCATCACAGCCACCAACAATCCCATAGTAACAGTGCTGCAGCCGCCCACAGTAATCGCAGTCTGGAGGAGGTAAATCAACTACAAAACAGATGCGGTGTGTGTATGTGTTTGCTCACAAGGTGGTGAGCGTGTGAGGAAGCGGACATGGCAGATTTAACAGGCTGGTGAGCAACAAAGGCCTTTTCCTCTTTTTCTGCTCCAGTCAGCTCGGCTTCATGCTTATGCCTCCAGCTACTAGCAATGCAATACTCCATATCTAGATGGACAGATAGAAGCAGAGATGGATAGGAAGTAGACTGGGTGCGCTAGCAACATTGATCGGATAGAAAGGGGGCACCAAGTTGATTTTGAGGTGCTATAGTTTGAATTTAAAGAGTTTCATGCAGCTATGAAGAACAACAGCACTACTCAGAGATGGTTACTGTACTGGCAGGTTTCTGAACGATCAAATGTTAAAAATATATGTTGACTGCATTTACAGCAAAATACCAATTCATTTTTTTCGCTGAGATAATGAGTGAGATCCGCTCACTGTAAACAATATCTCGTGAACCGGCACAGGAATTATGCAGTTCATTCTCGTTATCTCCGTTAGAGACTGTGCTGCCAAACACACATTCAAACCACAAAGGCTCGGGAAAAAAATGAAGGAAAAAGCGAAAACATCCCTGACGCACAAAATAATAGCCTGACCACACAAAAAACACAATTTCAAGCTGACAGGACAGACAGTGACAGCATAATGACTATTGCTGCTAATGCAAGTACTGCACTCTCACAACAATGCAGCAATTTCATTAGCTGGGAACATTCTGCCAGAAGGACTTTGAGTTATCATGCCCAAAATATTAGTGACAGCGGAAAATTGGTCTTTTTTTTTTGGTTGTAGTCTAAACAGACAAAATGAGGGCAAAATGCACATCAACAAAAGCAAACAGGTAGATTCATGATTTCATATCACCGAAGGCAGTTGGTGTTTGGAATCAGGCAGAACAGACTCTGCAGTTGAACCCATCTTCTCTGCCATCCTTAACAATGTGACTCCATCTCCCTCTTTTCCCAGGTTGGAATAAACAAGTGGACTACGAGCCCGGAACAGGCAGCAAGCAGCTGTTTCCTAAGATGCACCTGGAGACCTGTGGTGAGCCGCTGTCGTCGGTGAGGACCACGGTGGAGCTGCAGACCAGTCACATCGGGAAGGGCTGCGACCGGGAAACCTACTCTGAGAAATCTCTACAGAAGCTTTGTGGTTAGTTTTACAAGCACACATTAAAAAGAAAAGATCATTATTTCTGTATTTTCAAAACCATAACTATTTAAATGTCGAGAGCATTGTTGGCGTGTAGCAGTCAATCCATTGACAGCTGGACCTATGGCTGTTTTGACAGTGGATACGTAGAATAAACAGTAGATGGGTGATCAAAGGTGACCTCTGACTGAGGCGGCAAACTTAAAGTTAGTGTATTGAATTAGAATTGAGCTGTAGCTAAAAGCATTAGTTGAATTCACGGTCTGAGTACCAGGGTCAGATAGGGCCTGAGGCGCCTCTCTCTGCCTTTTTTAAACCGACATCTGAAAGCTCCCAGTCCGCGTTGCTTTCTCATCCCGGCTTGTGTCCCTGGTAAACCTCTGCTCAAAATGAAGGCACCAGAATGGCAACTTAAAGCTGTGTCACTAATGATGTGACAGAGCGAGGGCATTAGCCTCCCCAGATGCAGCCGCACTCTCTCCTTGGTGACTGATGAGCAGCCGAGGTGCCGTGTCGGTGCCCAGAGCACCAACAAAGCAGCCGAGTCTCCCCGCTCCCCACTCCCCGCCCACGCCGCACCGCCAGCAGGGGGTCTGTAGTCATCATCTTTGACTAACGGCCTTCACAAGCCCCTTTCCAACTCATCTGAATGCATAACATCCCCTCCCTGTCTCCCCTGGCTCCCAGTCCATGCATGGTTTACCACTAAAGAGTCCTTTTCAGGTACCTCATAATCATTATCTGATAGCGAATAGAATAAATTGTAATTGGTTTTTGAAAGCACAATCAATTTGAGATAATGTACAAAGACATCGGGCAAAGAAAAGGCTGCAGATGCTTCTCGGAGAAGTCGATGCGTATTTATTTACTGAGAGAATATAATTACTGGAGTCACAGTGGCGTGAGTAAGAGGTAGAGAAATAGAGCTTTAAGGATGAAGGAAAACATTAACAAATGTGCTAACGTTGTGTTATTAGCAGAAATGAACAGATGCGTGTTGCAGTCGTTTGCTTGAACAAGGGAGACATGGCTCATACTGACATGTTTTCTCGGAAACAGCATGTTTAGTGAATTGTTCTGAGTTACCCCCCCCCCCCATAAGCCGTTAGAAATGATTTATAAATGTGGTTTAGACACCCGAAATACCTTTTTCTCTGTCTCAGAGGGGCAGAGATAGATTGGTAAGGGCATGTCAGATATATTGAGGAGCAAGGTGAACAACGTGGCAAAAATAACGTTTCTCAAGGTGACAGCTTGAAAGCAGAGATGGTTCGGGACGCAACATGTTGAGGTCATTATGTCAAAGGATTGATGGAGTTTCTTTTTAAAAGGAGGAAAGAGGAAGGGGATGGGATGAGTTGGTGCAGGTGGTAATGATTCGTGTGTCAGGACAAACTGAAATCACGTAACAAAAGTGTCAGCTGTTAATAATTTATGCAATTGGTGGATTCACACCACACACTTTTATTTTGGTTTTACCATCACGCTCAGTCGATATGTCCTCTGTGCTCCCGTAGAAGCTTGTGTAAGTGCTACAGTATGTTCGGAATTTGTGAACGATGACTCTCATCTCTTTCCTTTTGAAAGTCAGTTTCATTTGCCATGAATCAATACCCACATCCTCTATCCATCTCGGCCCATTGATTACATATTAAGCCCCGCCATCTGCCTCACTCATAAGTAATCATAGCCAAGGTTAGGCCAATATACACTGCCTATCTGCACTGATTGTTATTGACACTGCTCCTGTCGCACCTTGTGTTTGTGACCTCAGGAGCCTCCTCGGGCAGCACTGACCTCCTCCCTGCCCCGAGTGCCGCCACCAACTGGACGGCGTCCCTGGTGACTGACAGCGGGAGGGACAGCGATTTGATCTTCAGGTTCGATGGTCGTCAGGCAGCAAATATCCCAGATTGGGTGGTACCCCAGAATCTGACTGACCAGTTCACCATAGCGACGTGGATGAAGCACGGGCCCAGTCCTGGACTCAGAGCTGAGAAGGAGACACTTCTCTGCAACTCGGACAAGACTGGTGAGTATGAGCCACCTTGACTTTCCTCTCAACAAATCCCAAGACTAAATCCAACAATGAATTGATCCTAGATCTGTGTAACCATCGTCTGGTGACGCCTATACTCTTGTTCCATGGATGCAGTTTGAGAACACAGTAGTAAGATACACTTTTGCACTGGGGGATGTGTTTCTGCATTATGATTAAGTTTGCCACTGTGGCTCATAGTCAGTGGATCCCTGCTAGAGAATAACTAGCTAACTAAATTCAAACTTTCATTCAAATGTGGGGGAAAAATGCAATTTTTGAACTGGAGAGCCCTGTTAGAATTCAAAATATACAGGAGTGCATCACACTGTCAGAAGTAGTTCACCTTGTGATCAAGCGGCGGATGCTCACTATTGGCTTGACCTATTGCATGATGTCTTGACCTGTCATTAAGTAAGCCAGATATACTATGTTGTTTTGCCATGAAAATACATGTAGATGTCATGAGCAAGCACCGAAGCATCTGAGAAGTTGGCAGTATTTTGAGTTCTACACCAAAGAATGGGGTTTTATAGTAAAAAGGTATATAACTAAATAGCATTTTTTAATCCAACTATATATTGTTACATTTTATGCATTTTCCAAAATAAAGCTGAAGCCAAAGTGAAGAGAAGTAAAGTATTGAGAAATTCACCTTTATAGGTTAGTTTAACTTTTCACTCCTGTGCTTTTTTATGCGAAACGCTTTTTAGTTTTATTTACTTACATAAACATGACCATTGAAGGAATGTCAGTGTTATTTCATGTTTAGGCTCGTTGTTAACGTGATGCATAGAGTAGATGAAGTCTAGAGCTCTGTAATGTTCCAGTAAAACGAAATCAGTAACATCACAGCAGGCTCACCCAAAGCAATGAGTTTGTTTTTCAAATGGTGGGAAACAACTGTCTGAAAGTTGACCCCCTCGGAAATAATCCTGCTGCTCCACTTTTCTAGATGTTTCACAAAGCCAGATGTCAGCCTGGCTTTACCTGACAGTGCGTAGGTGTGGTGATTTGGTCCCTGATGCCAGCCCCCCTCTCTTTCTGCCTCCCACAGAGATGAACCGTCATCACTACTCGCTGTACGTCCACAACTGCCGCCTTGTGTTTCTGCTGAGGAGAGACTTCACTCAGGTGGACACGTTCAGACCGGCTGAGTTCCACTGGAAGCTGGAGCAGGTAGGCTGAGTGACCTCAGTTTATACTGTACGTCAGTTCACCTTTGTGGGTTTTACAAGAAGTTTATGAGACAATCTCAGGACTAAACCTGTATTAAATATCCACTGGGGTTTTTTTTTCTTTGCTTAATCTGTGTCTTGCACTTATATCAAGGTTTTCTCAAGGTTTTTCTGGCGAGCCCAGTTTGCTAACTGGTTGTACATCAGACATAAAGAGATTTGCACACACCTATGGTTTTGTCTGTTAGTGCGTGCACACATTAATGTGTATTGGCTTCTTTTTAGTGATTAGTTGCAAACCCTCCTTCAATCCAAAAAGACTGAACCTTTAATTAACCTCAATTAATTTGGAGAACGCTCAGACATGTCTAGTTAATAACAGTTTTCAATGACTTTTCAATAAATATTGAACATGGGTGTGAAGACGTTCCAGCTATAGGACTCTGTTGCAGCCGGAGCTGTTTTATTCTCTCTCTTCTCCAGTATTTCACTGCCTGACAAGATTTCTCTGAGGAATCAAATCTATCCAGAGATAAAAAAAACACTGCACGAAAATGACTGCAGCCATGATGAAGCTTTTTTGGTGTAGAAATCTTGGTTTAAGTAGAGTGAGACTGGGAATGTTTAAAAAAAAAACGTCCAAAACTGGATCACCACTTAAAATATGCCATTTTGCCATCAGTTTGGACGATTCTGATTTCATCTTTAATTAACTGATTTTCATACAGATCTGCAAAACGCAGTCTGTCCTCACTGTATCTTCATAATCTTTGGAAGACATGCAATTTTTAACAAACAGACATAGCAGAGGCAAAAATGTGCTTGCTCAAGCTCCACGAACCAGTGTGTGTGTGTGCGTGTGCGTGCATGCGTGCGTATACTCCTTTTGTTACCTCTTTAGAAGTTTTCCCATTGTAAACACTGACCCTGTCAGCACCAGTAGACCTCATGAGGTCCAAAGCTCAGCTCTAATGAGGCAGACCGTAACTTCTAATGCTAAGGTTAGGTTAATGAAAAGTCCTGATAAGAATAGCGCAACAACTGTGTGTGCGTGTGTGTGTGTGTGTGTAAGGCAGCAGCTGTCTTTTGATCAAGGATCCTGTCTTAAAGTCAGACAGGTCACCTTGACTCACCGGACCTCTCACTCAGCAATGACATTTGATTTGGGGGAGAGACACACAGCTGAGCCTGGACATCCAGATACAACACCCTGGGCTGATATGATCAGACAGATCATGTGTGTGTGTGTGTGTGTGTGTGTGTGTGTGTGTGTGTGTGTGTGTGTGTGTGTGTGTNGTGTGTGTGTGTGTGTGTGTGTGTGTTTGTGTGTGTGTGTGTGTAGTCGTTACTTTCAACACTGGTGAGATTTTACACATTGATTCCTGTATTTTTTCCTCTATCTATTTGTTTCTGAACTGTAGCACAATCAAATGGAATTGAACAGAAAATAAAGGGGTTTGTGTTTGTATTTCTCCATGAGAGGATGTAGCATTAAAACTTGCATTTAGAAAAATATTCAAAACAAAAATAACCAAACTAAAACCTTTCACATTCACTATAAACTACAATACTCATCATCATTTACAGAGAGCAGTTTACAAAACATTCAGGAAGCACGCTTCATCTTTTAACTGCAGCTAACGGTTGCTTTCGGTTATTAAAATCAAAATTAAACTCATCAGTTCATGTGCTCCCTGCTGCAGATCAAAAGTGGTGAAGGTGCTTTTCTAGTTTTAACAACTCAAGCTCAGTGATGCATCTCCTGTCTGGCTGATAGCATCACGTCCTTTTCAGGAGTTGCAATTCAATTTCCCAGTTCATCTCTCGTTCATTTCATTCATTTAAGATCATAAAGATAATATTTTTCGTCTTGTCCATTCGGTTTTTTGATCATTTAGCTTTTAAAGTATCAGATTCAAAATGTATGTTTTTCCATAGGATCAAGGTTGTTGCTTTTCACAACACTCAGACAAAGTGAAAAGAATATCCTTGAGCGCTGTCCTGAAGTCACGTCAACATTCATGTGCACTGTGAGCCATCAAAATATCTCCTTTGAAAACTAGGCACAATGTGAGTCGACACTTTACATCTGGGAGTGTTTGGCTGCTGACCAACATTTCTTTTAAACTGGACATGAGCAAATGTCTACATGCTACATCCATTTACTTAACGTCAGTCTGTATTGTAAACATGCATCAGGGGCCAGTGAAGAGACAGACTGTGCTGGTAGAAAACTGTATGGATTTTTTGACGGTCCACTGACCCACTGATTGTTCGTGGCTGGCCCAGAGCCAATTATGACCTCCCTGGTGCCCTCAAGAATATTCTACCGCGGGGGTCCTCCTTCCGGACCCTTGAACCATGTAAACCACTTGCCCCACAGTCACACCTGACACCACAGAGCACCAACTACAATCCTTTTTTCCTTTAAAACATTACGCTCTACGTGTCAATCGAAGAATACCCGGTCCTGCACAACAGAATTACATTGAGACTATATTTATCGAATAAAACATTTTCTTACCATTAGTGAAAATGTACTTAAAATTGTAGAAAATATAAGTAGATAAAATACAACACTGTGCTGTAGCTCTGCCGCACCTTAAAATATAAAATACTATTTTTACCATGCCTTGGCTGGCTCCTGATTGTTATTATAAGTAGGTTGTTGTTATAAATAGCTGAATACCTGATGGTTATTATTTACTGGGAGATGGACATTAACGTTTCCCAGCATGCCCAGCTTCTCAACATTTTGAATCAATATTAGTCGGTGGAGGTTAGGGGGCAAAAACAGTGGACGGAATGATGGGAGAGGAGAGGTCGAACAGGGATGCAGGGGATGATCCTGAGGCACAAGGTTTGCTCTGTGCTAGGTGGCCGAGAGCACTTAACTGGCAGAAGCAACAATCTGGTGACGAGTGGGTGAAGAAGCAGGGTTTGAGTGCTGCTGGGCTGATGAGCTGATGGATGGCAGGTGTACAGGCTATCAGGCAGCTGGGGAGAGCGAGGAGCAGCTCGCCTACAGCGCGCACACACACACACACACACACACACACACACACTCACACATGCACGTCACTCTATAGTTGTGAGGACACTCATTGACATAATGCATTCCCGAGCCCCTTATCCTAACCTAAACCTAAATGCCTCACCGTAACCTAAACCTAATTCTAACCCTAAACCTTAAACCCACAAACAGCCCATTGAATTTGTGAGGACCAGCCAAAATATCCTCACGACGTCAAAATGTCCTCACAATGATGTTAGTAACACACTGCACAAATGTGCTTAGGCACAGCGTTAATTTGTAGAGAAAACCCTGCATATTAAAGTAGTTGAATAGAGACTGCAGACTAAAAACTTGATCAAGAGATCCCTTGTTAATTGAAAGATTTAATTAATCTGCAAATTAGGAAAAGTTTAGAGAGCTTGTTTTCTAGGTTAGGCTGAGAGGTGGCTTTGGGGATCTTGGGAAACTCAGTACAGTCTTGTAGAATTTACCATTAATGTTTTAATATATTATAAAAATCCACCAAATACGAAACGCATAAGCCATAACATATTACAATCCAGTTTAATCGGCCGACCAGAGGAGACCTTTTTCCTTCTAAGTGAGAGTTTTTGTTTGCAGCAAATTACATTTGTAAAAAATGGATTTTGGCTTTAATGAAAACATTATACATTTAAGTTGGTTTCCTGCTTTACCACATTGAGCACATTGGATGTTTGACGACTCTCGTGGTTAATGAACAGATACAGGGAATGAGTTAATCCGTATCCATGTCTAAATTGATTTTGACTTTTTTTTTTTCTTTCATTAACTTTGGGTGATAAACATGTCTAAAGATGACTGCAGTGTGCGCAGCACATTTACATCTTTTGGACGCTTCCTTCTTGAGCACTGTTAAAATCTCTCTTCTCTTTTTTCGAATCCTCTTTCTCATCTTCCTGCCTCTTGTTGATAATTGTCTGTGAAACCCTGGGGCATGAAAGGAAACTTTCATTAAGTCGCTATCTTCCCTCGCCTTGTCACCACTTCCTACTCATCTGCTACTTTTAAACAAAATGAACTTCTGACTATCTCACACCAAGAAACTCATCCACAGAACAATCTCCTCTTCTCCCTACATCGGTTTATCACAGAAGTGATAATTAATTTCTCATATATTTAATCAGCCTTTATAAGCCGCTGTTTAATGACTGGAAGGACAAAAATGCCTGCCAGTTATTAATTTTACCTGCTGAAAAACTGTGTACTAGCTATCTGTTAATAACAGACACAGTAGTTTGAAGCAGCTTAGCTTTTTGTGTAAAGGCCTATTGTGTTCAGTGTGATTCAGTATTTGTAAGCTTTACTATCTGCACTGTGTCCATTGTCGAGAGAAATGGCCCGAGGCTTTTATTGACCTGACTGAAGAGCTTTGCATTGAGCTTGTATCAAACGTGGTTTCATATTCTTTAAACGCAAACTTCAAGCATCTCAAAGAATTGGACTGTCAGTCTTGAATATGTTTTTGCAGGAGCCAGTACTGAGTGAATGAGCCCCCTCGTGCGTTGGGAACTATGTAGAAAATTGGATCAGGTGGGCGCAGTGGGTAAAATAAACTTGCAGGTGTCCAGGAAACTTCACCAGCTAAGAGAATGACACACGCAAGCAGCAGGAGATTTTACTTCGGAAAGTTCCATAGTAAAGAATTGATGAAGCAACCGAGACAAGAAGTGGTAGACTTCCCTGAATCCTTAGGAAAGTAGTTTCAATGTGACCTATCTTACCGTCTTTGGAATGGCACACACTGGAACATCCTTTATACAAAAGGAAAGGAGGTAATGGCTTCCCATAATTCCTTGTTTTTATATGACCAATTAAGATTAGTTCTTGAACAAACATCGTGATCAGAACTACCTAAAGTGACAGAAACCATTTGACTTTGATTTTTTTGTGTAGTCCATGCCCCATCCACTAACATGGTGGAGGCGGGGCTAATGACCTATACT